AGAAACCGTCCAGGGAGTGCGAGGCAGCGGGCCCTTGGGAAGTTTAGGCCCGTAGTGCATCTTGGTGCGGCGCTGCTGCCCACAGGGCACCCAGCGCGGCACCCGCCCGGCAGACCTCCGTAAAAACAGCATCGCGGCTTCCCCCTCCGCAGCAACCTCACCGCCTGCTGAGGGCAGCAGCCATTTTTTCCCCCCGCGAAAAGCATGCCGGGTAGGGAGGCGGAGTCGTGCTTGTGACTGACTTCGAATTGTTGGTGACGCCGCTCTGTTCTCTCGTGTCTGAAGTGGTACCTGTTTGTCTATTTATCGTGTGCAAAGAACTTGGGCCTTCCCTGCGATGTCGCTAGAAATCTTGGTGAGAGGAGCTCGGCGCTCCTGTCCTGCTGCACAGAAGAGTGTTTTAAAAGGCACCATGGAGAGGAGATTGGACAAAGCTGGTCTCTGTCCAGTGAGCCCGTGGGGAGGGCCGTTAGCCAGATATTTCTGTTGCCCTTTCTTTTTGGCATTTTTGCCACAAGTCATCTTCCAAAGTACGAGGTCCAGTTTGAGGTCCGCTTGAATCACGTCGTTGGTAGTCAAGAACCTTTATCTCTGGGTGACTGCAGGCCCTCAGCAGTTTGTTGAAGCTGGGCTTTCAGCTGCTCTGTGTGTACTGCATAGTTAGTACAATGCCAGCCAGTGCTACAGAATTCTTTTGTGCTGACGACACTGCAGGCATAGTGTGGCTGAAGACAGTTTGACTGTGATGCTGGGTGCATGCGGTGTTGTCCAGGGAAGTATTTTGTTTCTGAAATCTACCTCAAGTGGAGCATGCTCTGTAGCAGCCACTGAAGCCCTTTGCCCTCTTGTCCACAATTGCTACAGCATTCATCTACAATGTGGCCAAAACAAGTCTAAATTAGGGGAAAGAGGCTTGCAGACCAAAACTTGTTCATAAGGAGAGTACAACAATTCTTACCAAAAATCTGCATTGCTGTGAAATTCCTGCAGACTAGGTAGAACAGAGCATGCTCAGTCTCTGTCCCTGTAGCCACTGCCCTTAAATACCATAGGTAAAGGTAAAGGTTTCCCTTGCTCGAAAGCCAGTCGAATCCGACTCTAGGGGGTGGAGCTCATCTCCATTTCCAAGCTGAAGAGCCAGCGCTGTCCAAAGACATCTCTGTGGTCATGTGGCCAGCATGACTAGACGCGAGGTGCACGGAAAGCTGTTACCTTCCTACCGAAGCGGTACCTTTTTATCTACTTGCCATTTCTTGCTTTCGAACTGCTAGGTTGGGAAGAGCTGGGACCAGAAACGGGAGCTCACTCCATCATGCAGCACTCGGATCTCAAACTGCCAAACTACTGACCTTCCAGTCTACTTCAGTGCAGTTCTTCAGACTAGTCAAGTACAATTTGAAGGTCTAAAATAACAAGATCTAGGAGTTATTCTACATATACTATATACAGCAAGCCAAAATATACAAGAGAAATAAAGAACTGACTCCTAATATTTCATTTTTTCATAAGGTGTTTGGGTATGTAAGGCATATCTAAGAGATGAGTAGCAGGCAATCGCTTTCAAAGTCAGTATCTATCCATAGCTTCCCTGAAACAGCTTGGAGTCAAGGTCTTATAAATCAATGTCTTAAGGACCTTCTTAAAGGTATATAGTCCAGTACATTACCAAAGGTCTTCAGAAAGAATTTTTAAAAAAGTTAATTAAAGTAAAGTTATTTATAAAAAACTAGAAAAATCTAATATAAGGTTAAGTCCAAAAGTCTGAAGAATTTAAAAGAAAACACTGTGCAGGTAATTTAAATGAACCTTAAAACTCTAAAAAATTTAATAAAATTGCAAACATTTATAAAAGTAAAAATTGTTTAATACCTTAAAATGTCATTAAAAATGTTAAACTATTTTTGTAACCATTTTGTAATAATTAATATGCCAATCTTTCAAAATTATATTTTAATAGAATTTGCCAAGAGAGTATAATCAAATGCACAAAAAATAATATTTTTTTCTCTCCTAGTCTCTTTAAATAAATCAGCTCGCTGTATGGAACATGCTCGTTTATAAGTATTAACAATCATTTGTGGAGGATAACCTCATTGAATAAATTGGTTATACAGTTTGTTAGACTCTTCTTGAAAGTGCATTTCTTAGGTCAAATTTCTTTTAGCCCTTAAAAATTGGCTATATGGAAGGTTCTGTCTCAAATGTCTCACATGAAAATATCTATAATGCAGGTAGGAGTTCTTATCAATATGTTTGCTATAAGAACATTGTCACAGCTCAGGTGGGGTGTCACCTGATGCTGCCACCACTCTGGTTTTAGGATCCCTTGAGAAAGCCCAGAGCACCCTCCCAAGACCTTCAGACCTCCCCTTATTTGGCCGAATAATAGTTGTGAGGACCAGGCAGAGTGAACAACAAGAGGTTTATTTTTATAGGAGGTCAGTCAAATATGTGAAACAAACAAGGTTTAAGAACAATAGCAATAAGGGGGTGAAGAGAAAAGAAATCAAATGCCCTAACACGACTACACTCACAGTCCCTAGCTCACTGTCTACTCACCCTACCTCTCAGGGTGAGGGTCTCTCCCAGCAGCAGCCTTCCCTCTGGCCCTGCTCTCTTGGAAGAAAGAACAACTCTCCTTCTGTACCAGCTCTTTTATTATAAGTCCCCTTTCTCTGTAATTGACTAAAATTGACACCAAAACCTCTCAGGGACTTCTGGGAGTTGTAGGCCTGGCCTCCTCTCAATATAGGGCTGCCAAGCCGCGGCGGGGGATCCGCATGTCTTCACAGGATCCCTGCCGCCCCGTTGCCAGAGCGACGCATAGACAGGGCCTTCTGAGAGTTGTAGGCCTGTCCTCCTCTCACTGTAGGGCTGCCAAGCCGCGGCGGGGGATCCGCATGTCTTCACAGGATCCCTGCCGCCCCGTTGCCAGAGCGACGCATAGTGTCACATCCTGGCGACGGCAGTGCAACGCGTATCGCTGTCCCCCGCGGCAGGAATCCTGTGAAGACGTGCGGATCCCCT